AAACCCTTAAACCCTATAAGCCCTAATAGGCAGAGCCCTCTGATCTCCTCCTGCACTGCTTGTGGCAGAGCTTGCCTCCAAGGCTGGGGACCCCTAGGACTTATCATATTAGTGGTAAGGGGTGTAGGGTTTAGGGTTTAGGGCTCATATTATACGTATACACACATATTATGTACATACATTTTAGGCTTTAGGGTCTTAGGGTAGGAAAGAAGGGAATGCCTTTAAAAGGGGGCTATAATGGGACTTTATTTCCTTAGTTATCCCCTAACCCAGTCCCTAAACCCTAGATTTAAACCCTAAACCTTAGTTATTCCCCAACCCAGTACCCAGCAAGCTGTGCGATTAAGGATTCGGCAGCTGAAGTCTTACCCTAAGGGTCCAACGCGCGTGTATATATATCTATATATGTATGTATATATACAGTATATCAGGGATTAGGGTTGAGGGAACTTCCAAATATCATGCACCCCCCCCAAAAACGCGAAAACGACTGCTAGATTCAGAGTTCTAGGTAGATGAGTATTGAAAACTGGGGTCTTAGGCTTAAGGTTTAGGGCTCTGGATTTGGGGTTCGTGGTCTAAGGCTTTCTTTTAGCCCCTCGCACACTCCTTACAAACAAGGACAAATGGTAATGATATCAGCACTGGTTACAAGACTTACACTCCCTAAACCCTAAACCCCTCAACCCTAAACACCTAAACCCTAAACCCTAAACCCCAACACCCGGATATCAAATTCAAGGTCTTAGTTGAAACTCATTGAACCAACCTGCTCGCTGGCTCCGAAACCAGAACGCAAACATCATCTATGTAGCAGAAGGAATTAGAAACCCCACACGTTTTGAATCCCTTTTCACATCCCTACTGCTCACCCACTCTGGGCCACACGCAGAAATTTAGGTATCTAGTTGTGTTTTGTCGAGGTAAACAAAATGCGCGGGACATCCTTTGGTATGTGCAGGCTCAAGATTCGGATTCAGTCCATCAACCATATCTCACCTATTAAAGGCTGAGACGTAGGGGTGGAGTTTTTTGTCCAAGGTTTGGCTCCGCCATTTTTTCCAAGGTTTGGCTCGAACCCCCCCTCTCGTTTCCTTGTAACTGTCATCATTTTTGGGCTCTTAGATACGAAAAGTGTCAACTGTCACAGGGATCGCGGGGGTCACGGTTGCCATCCTCGTAACTGTCGACGTATTTGGAGTCTCACACGTTCTTGGAAATTCAAAAGTGTCGACTGTCACGAGCAGGAAACCAC